GTATGGAGATGACACGATCTTTTTATCTTCAAAATGGTTGAAAACCATGTTTTTTTTACTGTAATCATCAGTTTTTACTTGAATCACATCCTTTTAAATTTGATCAGAGTAATTTCTTAAAGGGGTGGGTTGAATTTGGTAGTCCCCCTCCTTGATTGGATGATGTTTCAATGCATCACCAAGTTGAAAACCTCCTAATGTGTTATTTGGGAAACCTTTTGAAAACCAAACAATAGAGGGTTTTGGGAACACCCATAATTGAGTGAAAAAGTGCATTTTTTGGGAATTTCGTTATTGGTAGGATAATCTTATTCAATATAATCTTTGATGTAATGCACTATGAGAAAAATTTCTTTGATAATATAATACACATTGTTATGAATGACAATAAGACAAAAGACAATGGGAAAGCAAGATTGGATTTAGCCATTTATTGTGACTGAGGAAAACTACACATGGGATATGATACACATGGTAAGCTTGTGAAATCTAATGCTAGTTATGCACTTACCTCCAAAAAACAAAAGCTTCTATGTGCATGGTTAAAACAATTGTGCTTTCTAAATGGGTTTGCTTCCAACATATCAAGATGTGTCAACTTGAATAAGTCTAAGTTATTAGAAATGAAAAGTCATGATTGTCATGTTTTCATGCAATGACTAATTCCAGTTGCTTTTTGTGGTCTATTGCCATCTATTATTTAGGGTCCTTTGACTGACATTAATAACTTCTTTCATTCTCTTTATTCCCCGGACATTAGACTTACTGAGATGCAGAAGTAGGAGGCAAAGATTGTAAAAATAATTTGTAAGTTAGAATAATATTCCCCCCGACATTCTTTGATTCTACAGAGCACAATTCATCTTCCATAGGAGACCAAAATTTGTGATCTTGTTTAATTTCGTTGGATGTACACATTTGAAAAGTAAAACATACAAATAAATTAATAATATTAAAACTTACTAATGATTTCTTTTAAAATTAATCTTATCAATATCTCCTTTCAAATGCATGTGCAAACTTAAGAGTACCATAGGAAATAAAAATTATGTCGAGGCATCAATTGTTGAGACATTTATATTGTCACGCCCCAAAACCCGAATTCGAGGCGCGATAGATGCCTTGCACTCATGAGAGGGTCCCACAAATGCACAAGGCTCGAAACTTATCCAAATCACAAACTCTATTCTCGCAAAATCTGTTTTAATACCATAAAATTCAAGGTACAATCTATCTTCCAAAAATGATAATATATTCCATAAATCTATGTCCAACATGACTTAAACTCAAAATAATGAATCTAACTTACAAGGACAATCTAAACTCAAAATCTATATCCAAATGCAATAGCTCGCCAATTAGCTCGTCACTCCCCTTGATTCTCGTGTCTCGGGTCATATTACCTGAAATGGCGGACAAGGGAAAACTATGAGATAAACTCAGTAAGTAAAATATGGAGTGCTCTTATTAAACTTATAGCATGCCAACAAGTGTAATCAAGAAAATCGGATACAGTACGTGAACAAAATAGACGTCTCTTCTATAGGTCATGGCTAGTGTTATAAACCTCCCACTAGCAGGCTACAGAAATTACTAGTGTAAAATCCCACTAGCAGGATTACAGAAATACCAATGTTTAACAACTCCCACTGGCAGGATGGAACCGACTCTACAGAAATACATGTCGACATGTGCTAGCGTTTATAAACCTCCCACTAGCGGGCAACAAAATAACATGACCATATCGAAGACAAAACATGTTGAATTTAATAGAAAATCATTCTTTACAGATAATTTTCAGATCATTAAGGCAGTTAAATAAACTCCAAGCAGGCATGCTCAAATCAATAAAAGAATAATAATCTTATTTCAAATCAATCATGCTTATTTTTGTATAAAACGGGTTTAGTCCCGCCACCACTTCAAAAACAAGTCAAACATGTTTTTTTTAAAAACTGTACGGGTATTACCATAAATTTACTTACCTCATTCGCTTAAAACCAAAGGCTCAATCTCAGTGCCAAATTGACAGAACGATAAGGAACCTAATTCAAAACATCCAAAAATTAATACCCATATAATACTACATACTTAATCCTTTTTCTATTGTTCCCGACCAATCCCAAAATGCAATATTTATTACTTTTATTTTATTTATTTTCATTACCCAAATTGTGTATATATATATTTATATACACATTCATATATAATTTATTCTACTCCCGCGGACAGAACAAAATAGGGGAATAGAACTTTATTTCATTTAATCCTATTTAGCAAAACAATAACAAATCACGGGATTTTTCTCCAAGAAATGCAACAGCCCAAATCAACCAATCCAACATAAATTAAGCTAAAAACATGTCAAAAGGCTACCAAATTCCCCCCATATCCCAGCAGATTTCGGACAACCCACGGGCAGCACATGGAGGAATCAGCTTTGGCAAAACAATGGAAATTCATGGGATTTCCACAATTAACCTCACAACAATCAACTCAAGCTAGTTTCTACATGAATTAAACAAAACTCATGCTTGGAGGCTGCCAAATTCTTCCATATTTCTGCAGAATTTCGGATAGCACAACAAGGGTTTTCGGACAACACAGGGCAGCAACAAATTGATAAAATTTCAAGCTTGGAAGGCTGTTAACTTACCAGAATCTTTCCAGCAATAGAAGCCGGGTCTGGCGAGCTTGGCAGAAATCGAGAAAGGGGAAGGATGTCACGGGAGCTACCAAAATTGAGGGAACAAGAGGAAATTAGAGTAAACCCAACCTAATTCAAGGTTAAAGAGAGGGATTCATGGCTGAATCTTACCAGAAAACCGAACTCAACCCCACACAGCAGAGGCCGGCGGACAGAGGGGAAGAAGACGGCGTAGATCTGGAATTTCTGGGTTTAGGAGAGCTTTCTAAGTCCTAAATCTTGTTATTGAACAAGAAAGAAGGAGAATTTCAAGCCCCTTTTTCCGGTTTTCAAAGGAAGAGGAAGTCGGTGGCTTAGGGGGGGCTTGTCGGGCTGCACAAAGAAGAAGAGCAGAGCAGAAACGTGTATGGCTGGGAAGAAATTTCTGGGTTTAAATCTGGTTCTCCATCAAGAAAGGAAAGGGAAAACTCAAGCTCTTTACCAGTTCTCAAGGGGGAAGTTTCAGTGGCTTTGGGGGGGGAAGCTTTCAGGAGGTAGAGGAGAAGGAGGACAGAGCAGACACGCGTGTGATGAGGAAGAAAAGAAAAAAAATCTAAGCTTGATCCTTATCCAGAATTTTTCCTCTTTTAAGTCCCTGAACTTTAAAAAATTTTACTATTAAGTTCATTAATAATACTTCCTCACAATTAGGTCCCTACGCACACTTTAATGTTCTAGAAAATTTTGGGATATTACATATATTATACGAGATAAGCCACTTCTGCTCTCGTTATTTTGGGGACGATGTTGAGACAAGATGGAATCAGTTGCTAAGAAACTATGGCAGCATTA